TAAAAATTATATAATTATACTAACTACTTAATTAACTTTCTTAAGTAGATATAAACTATTTCATTTGTGTGGAACCAATGCACACATTTGAATCATGCAAACTCAACAATTTCTTTGAGTGTAGAGATAGTAATAAACAAAATATATACAAAATCATTATTTATAGAGCACTTTCTCCCGGGAGATCTGGGAGTCTCAAAACCTAACCCCTAAATTTAAACTTGTATTTCTTTTTTCACTTATTTCTTTTCAAAAAAACAATTCTTTATTCAAAAGTGAAGTTAAAAGATTCAGATTCATCATGAGTTTAATTTAAAAAAAAAAAAAACTTTATTTACAAAATTCTTTTTTACGTTTTGATGTCACTTCCAAAACACAAAGAGCTTTAACCCATAGCCTTATTTCACCCACACCCCTGCATTTTAGAGCAGGATGCTCTAAAGAAACTGCATCCCTGTCCCTCGTGGCCACATGGTGAGCAGTTAGTAAATGCGTCAGTGTTATATAATAATTACACGGCTAAAATATAAAGTGTAATTGTTGCACATTTAAACTTTAGATGACGCCACAGCACAACCACACACACACACACACACACACACACAGACATTCACAATTCTGATGGTAAATCATATGTCTATTATTTGTAACCAGAGTCAGTGACCACTGTGAGGGTCATTTTCCTGTGTACATCATTCTGAACTCCCGTATCAGCACCAGAGGGATGCATCTCTTTCAGCTTTTGAGAATATTCTAATAGGATATAAGTACTGATACTGATTGTTATTAATCCTCAAAAGTCAAGCTGTTACTTTCATTTTGCTAAAAAGCAATTAAGAAATGATCTATTTAATAACAAATATGCATTATATTCATATTCTGTATCAACATGTTTGAGTCTGTACATCTGAATGTTTGCCTGTTTGTTTCGATGTCAAGAAATTACAAAAACGTGGCAAAAACATAGAGGATTGTCTGAAAAAAACCTGCCAGACAAGACTGTATCCACAGCAATGTTTCATTATATTTCAGTAGATTCATAATGAAATACCTTCCACAAATCTCGTATCGATTGACAGCTTAGAACCTGCACTTAGACAGAGGTTCTTTACTTGTTCTAATCAGTAAACATGTTGTATGAGTGTTATAGTGGCATTGTGAAAGTATTGCATTTTGAACCCGACAACTCAGGTGACATCACTGCTTTCAAAAAATAGCTACATCTCCACTTTCAGCCATCTCTAATTTCATGCATCTGTGATTCACCCTCAAACACAGTGCAGTTTTCTGAACATCTGACCAGCAATATAAAATACAAGGTGTGCTGTTGGGGTGATCTGGTACCCAGACGACAGACAGCAACTCAAATGGAGATGTCGCATGCTGCTGGACCTGTGGAGGCCAGATACCCACTAACAGCCATAGCAGTAGGGCAGATGCCAGAGTGCTGCCACTAGTGTTGGGCAGTGTATGTATACTAGGTCTGTACCAGTAACAGAATCTAGCTCTTCTTTTTAAGTAGGGCTGAACGACCAGCATATACTTTTTCTGGCTTGAGGCTTGAAGGCTTAACACAAAATCTAGGTTAGTGTTAACACAATATCTAAGTTAAATAACACAACAGCCTGCCAGTTAATTGTGGCTGTGATGTCACAGCACATGGATGTTTGGTTGCTTCTGGTAAGTCGAATTAATCTAAAAGCAGTTCACAAGCCCCATGTTACTAGGTTAAATTTCCTTTATTCAAAACTTGCAACATAGAAGGTAAGATTATAATAAAAATTGCAGCTCTTGTGATTTGAAAATTGTACTTTTTCCAATTGCAATTTTGATATAAAAACGATTAATCTTTCAGTTCTACTTTAAAAATATATTTTTTTATTACTATTTTTTTTGTACACAGTTCGTAACACTGAATCGGATGCGTAAATAAACACGGCGACATGATGTGTGCTGAAGCTTAAAGCTGCACTATGTAAGTCTGGGGTATTTGGAGACCTCTCTGGTGGAAATGTGTAACTGCAACAACATGCTGAAGAACATTCTATAACAACCGTTGCTTTGGACCCCTTCCCCAAGCAGATCAATCTGATGATGTGAGGGCACTGAAAGAGTATTCAACAAGAACTTGTCTTTTAAGGATGTGAGCGAATTATCTACTATTGTCATCATATCTTTATCAGTATAAAGTTGATTTTGATTTGTGACTTAACATTCCGGAACTTCTTTTTCAGCCTGTGCGTGTGGCATTAATAAGTAAAGACGGATAATGTGGTCCTGAAAAATGTAAACAAACAATAGCATATCTTTAATCTTTGTCCAATAAAAGAACATAATCATAGCGCAGTAAATGTTTTCACGTTTACATGTTATTTTGGCCGCAAAAGGCTGTTTTGTCAGAATTTGATTAATATAAAATATCAATTCACCCAACCTATTTAAAAGATTGTGTGTGAATAGTAGCATCTGGCTAAACTGGTGGTAAATGTTTTACCGCCACTTGAGACTTTTACTGCAGTAGCTTGGACAAGGGCCTACTCTACAATGGTACAATCTATATTCTTGCCACACAAAAACTGCCTTGTGTTTCAGATTGTTTCTAAAAATCTATAAAAAACTACATAAACAGTAAATTTCCTTTCTGGAAATCCGATTTTTGTATGGCTAATATTTACAGTATTATGTAACCTTCCATTTGGTGTAATTTTAAAAGAAGCAGAACAAAAAAATGTCAAGTTTTTAAGACTTCTTTTAGCAAATATGGCCAGTGCTCAGGAATCATGCGTTCATTACTTAAAAAAAAAGAAAACACAATCTTAAGATTGATACCTTGATCTTCTGTGAAAATGCTGTCATACTGTATTTTACCAAAAACACTAGCTTCCAGTTCTTCCAACTTCAAGCTAACTACAGCACCCACTCACACAAGTCACATGCACACACACACACACACACACACACACACACACACACACATACACATACCCATTTACACAAGCCCATTTTTGCTTACAAAGACTACAGAAACTGTTATTTAGGATTTAAGTTCATGTCATTCATGTTAAAATACTGTTAACAGGCACACATCCACTCACCCACCCTGTGTACTCACCAAACTGCAGTAATACAGTGAAGGCCAGCAGCAGCAGCGAGGCCAGAAAGATAAGGACACAGGCAGCAGATTTCCAGCGCCTACACACGCTGTTCAATACACCCAGGCCTTGCATGGCAGTCTGAGGAAGGACTCACCTGGACACCTTAAGAAACACACACACAGACATAAAAACGCTCTATTAAAAAGATTTCTCCTCCTTCAATTCTCTCGCTGTAGTGTTGTAATCATTGTCCATTTTTTCACCTTTCTCTTATTTTTTTTTCTTTCTTGATCCTCCTTTCTTCTTTTGTTAATGTGCTTAATCCTAACTCTTCCTCATATCAACACATACTGCAACATGCCTCATCATCAGTGTTACTCCAGTCTCTGGGCTACTACTCACTTCTCTGTGCTCTGATTGGACAGTGCTTTCCCCCATAGTACACTGTGCTTTGAAAAAAAATACAATAACAACAACATCAGCAACACAACCAACAACCAACAACAACATTCCAGGCCTTCAGGCCAGCGGCGGTGGCTTTAGTCAGAGGCTGCATCCCAAATGGCCCCGTGCTTGATATGAAGGGCGCTGCATAGGGCACAAGTTAAAGGCTGTCACACCCCATGTAGTGCACTAAATTTTAAATACTGAGCCATTTGGGATTCAATCAGAGCTGTATTGATGGGAGTGGAGGGCAAAGACCAATGGCTGGCAATGACACCATGACTTTGATTTCACACACATCAAATCCAATGTATTAAGCAGTGTTGCCCAAAGTGCGGCCCGGGGGCCAAAGTTGCCCCGTGAGGACATTTGATTTGGTCCACCAAAAAGGTTACTCTAACCCTCCCTATCCAAGAAGAGAAAAAACATATTTTTACACTATTTATAACTTACTAAATTCTTAAAAGTTTAGTAACTACATACAGGGTAACATTATAAAATGCATTATTAATTTAATTAAACTTACTTTGAAACCCACCTACTTTATTACTTGTATACTGTTTTGTATTTTTGGCCAATTGCCTACCACAAACATGCAAACCACCCGTAGTCAAATAGTGTGGGCATAAAGAGAGCTGGTATCAGGTTACTTTACTTACATACAGTGCTTCATTACATCAAGTTTGAAATCCTGCTGAAGCTATCCATAAAAATCTGTACCATAAAGTGGGGTGACGTTCATGTTAAGGTTACTGCTGCAAAAACTGTGTGTATATATACATATACACTGTCACATACTGTATATATACATACAAACATACATACATACACACATATATACGTATGTATACAGTGTGTGAAAGTGTCATTGATTGCCAGCTTGCATGTGCCCAGCTTCTAGTATTTGACCTGTTGGAGTGTGAGGTCGACCCATTTCCCCAGGCCTCCACACACACAGCCATGACCAAGGCAGAACTAGTTCACTGAGTACAAATGAGGAGAAAGTCTCTGTGCTCACATTTTCAAAATAGTCACAAATTACAACCACACGATTGCCTTATATCCTTCAGTATTACGTCTCTGCCAGACCAAAACCTTGTATCTCAAAAATGGTAACTTTAGACGAGAAGGAAAAAGCAGTCAATGTATGTTAATGAACAGAGATTTTAATCCAAGCAATTTTGGACTGTTTATATTGGTCCACAAATGAAGAAAATTATTTTGACAAAAAAAAAAAAAAATCAACAAAAATGGAGGTACAAGGTTTTGTTCTGATAGCAACAATTAGATGACGACTGACTATATCAGGAATGTCAAACTGGGGACCTTCCGGGCCAAAATGCTGCGGAGATTAGCATTTACCGTAATTTACCGCTCTGAATTCAGTTCATGAAGGCTTTGCTAGTTAGCTGATGAGCTGAATCAGGTGTGTTTAAGGAGGCAGTGTGCTGAAGTATGCAAGGTTTTGGCCTGCAAAGACTGGAGCTTGACACATGTGGTCTATGTAGTACACCCACATCGGTGTCATACGGCAATAGTGACGTTATGTTTTTGTAGTATTCACAGATTACAAAAACGTAACTGTAATACTGCATTTGCTAGATGCTTCAGATTGTTTTGAAATGCATTAAAAATAAATAATTAATAAATCTCCTTTGTGTTTTCTGTCTGGTTAATGTTTACAATACTGTGTAAAGTTTCCTTTGGTGTTATTTTAAGAGCATTAAATAGAACAAACTATATGACCTGTCAGGTTTGTAATAAATTCTTTTAGCATAGAGCCGCAGTACTCGGGAAGAACGACTTCAATATTAACTGAAACTGAAATATTGTCTGATATTGTGATATATTTGTAAAATATCATAATATAAATTTTATGGCACAACATGGAAATGCTGCTTCACCAGATTATTTCATTGAGCACCAGTAAATACATGTTAGTTTTATTAGTTTCTGGCCCAAAAGTGAATTATAAAATGTTTATCAGTTGTTCTTCATATTGTTACTATCAAAACAATATCTTGCATCTCCATTTTGCAATCTTTTTTCACTTGAAAATGTAGACGGATCAATAGAAATGGTCCAAAGTGATTTATAACACAATCTTGTCTTATTAACTTAACATTTTAATAAGGTTTTTCACTTCTGCTGTAAAGTTACTTTTTTCAAGACAAAAGGTTTTGCTTCGACAGCAACGATACGTCAAATAAAATTACGAAGACTAGTAATGTCATTCTCTAGAAATTGACCTCACACCTCAGGCAGTGTCCTGAAGGTGACTTCTTAACTTCTCCTAAAAACTGCAAATTGCCATAATACTGTAATTTAGTGTAATCCATAAATGCCCAGAAATAATTTAAAGCTGAAAGCTCTCACATAAGCCTGCCTGCGACCTTGCCATTAACTCATGTATGTCTGTCAGTCATGCCTGAGATGAGTCCATGTGACTTTTTCCATTTTTCTGTTTTTTGTTTTCCCAAATCCCTCCTGACCTTCCACAGGAATGTGGGCGAGCAGCAGGCTGGGGCTCAGGATCCCAGGGCAAGCTGAGAATTTGATATTCCGGCCGAGCAGATAGTGGACATTCCGGGGCCGAGGGCGCACAAAAAGCTGTTTCTGCTGCCAGTGGCTGCCGTCGGCGGGGCCTAAACGCTGCTTCCTGCGAATCTGTCACTGGGGCTCTCTAGAACGCTTAGGCAGCCGATGACACCAGCGGGGCGCCTCTCGACTCTCTCTCTCTCGATATGGGGGGGAGAAGGAGACTGGAGAGGCTGTGGGGTGGGTGGGTGGAGTCTGTGTGGCTACAGTCACCTGTCCACTTTCTGCTCAAATTAGATGCTAAGGGTTCCTTACATACATAATGTCACACTTTCGTCAGTCAAATACTTACTAACCCAGTCAGGACAGTAATATCCTTTGCTAGGATCCCACCATGTCCTCTTTGCCCTTTGACTTCTCTACTGCATCTATGATGATGTGCCAACTACGCCATCCATTGCCCGGGTTCAGACAGCTTAAACTGTGCAGAGCTCAATTTCTAAAAAGCCATAAGAGGGCTCGTTGTTCCATCAATTAGGGCCTTCCAATGTTTTAACACTGCCGCGGACCATTCTGTGCACCATTCTCGCAAAGTGCTGCAAGCCGGCAGACAAACGGCTCAGTTATGAGGCATGAAAAATAATCTAGTCTCCTAATGTTATGTTTTTCAATACGCCATTCATGGCTGGATGCAGTGTGGATCCACAGGGGAATAATGTCGCCTTTTGTGTCGTTCCGCGCTTCCCCTCCCTCTCCTTTCCTAACTCTGAGAAATGGCTGAAAGATCTCGGGAGCGCACAAAACCTATTCCTCTTTAATAAATCACAGATAAACGAGAGGAGAGAAGAACCGACCTCTTTCTGCTGTCTGTCAAGACTTGGGGAGATTGCTGGAATTTGTGATGGCCTTCAGATGAATTGCATCTGTCAGCATGTTTATCAGGTCCTCATAAGTTTTGTCTGATTTAATTACAGCGTATTCCTTCTCCATTTCTGCATGCAATTAACAAGAAGTGAAATCACCCTAATGGCGAAATGAAATCCCATTCACTCCACGAATCTGAGAACGCTCAGGCGGGACTGATCCAAGATGTAACATTTCTTTGTAAGAATTTATAAAACCTTCAAATCTGCATCTCTGTTACCACATTTTGTCACCCGAAGAAATAAAGACTTAAAAATGAAATGAGACAAGATTCTGTTTAAAATGATGCATTCTTTTAAATTCAAAGATCCATGAGAAACATACCTTAGATATACGCAGTTTTTCCTTCCCCCACACAAGAAAAAAAAAATAGAATCCCAACAAAATAAGTCGCAACAGTTTGTCCTACGTTTTCAGACAGCTGGTACTTTACGGGACCGCTCTCCACCTCTCAGAGTTGGACATTAGAACTCTGTGCAGGAGAAGGAGGGGAAAAAAAAAGTCGTTCGGACGCACGGATACAGGCTCTTTCATCTCCGTAACCTTCGGAGGCTATAAGTACCCGGCCTTCTCTCCTAAGCATTACGTAATCCCAAAAAAGGCTTTGTAGCCATTGTATGTTAATGTATTGCTCACACCTGTTCCCTGCCTGCTGTGTGCTTAAAGAATGGACAGTGGTAAGGGAGGGGAGAAAAAAAGACCGCTGAAAGCCAACCCTTCACAGGTTCCTGAGCATCTCTAGTTTCAGACTGGGTTCTTGCAAGGCGCTGTCCTGCTTGTCTGAAAGACGGCCGCGTGTGTGTGTGGTGAGAGCACGTGGGAAAAAGAGGATAAAGGATGACATTTGTATGTGTGCTTGTGTGGATGTACGTGCCTTTGTGTATGTGTCCCAGTACTTTACAGGTGTACATGGTCTTCTCTCTCTCTAATGGAACAGGGAGCCATGTCTCTATGCTATCATAGTCCTAAGACCTCCTTTAGCAGGCTTGATATTCAGATATATCACAACAGGGCAGCACGGTGGTGCAGTGGGTAGCCCTGTTGCCTCACAGCAACAAGGACCTGGGTTAGGTTCCCTGGCTGGGTAACCAGCAACCTTTCTGTGTGGAGTTAGTATGTTCTCCCCATTCCTCCCGCAGTCCAAAGATATGCAGTCAGGAGAATTGGAGACTCTAAACTGCCCCAGATGTGAATGTGTCTGTGAGTTTGTATCTGCCCTGTGATTGACTGGCGGCCTGTCCAGGGTGTTTCCTGCCTTCCACCCAGTGAAGGCTGGGACAGGCTCCAGCACCCCCCCTCATGACCCAGAAGGATAAGTGACTTAGATAATGTGTGTGTGTATAATGCAACATTTCAGTAACATCTACAAATTGCTTGGTATCTACCAGGGATGCAACAAAATTTTGGCCACCAAATTTTTTTGGCCAAAAGTGGTTTCAGTCGAACTAACCACTTATACAAACTACATAGACCTGCAAAGTACAAGTGTCAAAATCTGATTCTACAAGTGCTTTTAATAGTAATAAATTGAGAAATAGTACTTAAAAATACTGTCTGTTCCCTTTGCATTCCAAGAAGCTGAAGTTAGATTTTTGCTTGCCAGTCAATTATTCAAATTTTTCATTCCACCTTAAACGGGGCAGCCAGAATACAGCAAAACAACAGAAGCAAAAAAGAAAGAAAAGACAGAAAATTGTTGCTAACACGCTCATAGCATCTGTAGAAATGAACTGAAAAAAGTTTGCAAAGACACTGCCAACGTGCAAATTATAATCTAAAAAATAATGGAATTCATTGCCTTGCCTCTGTGGTCACTGGCATTCTCTGTTGTTGATTTCACAGCACATACTGTAACCAATATATTGTAAGAATTTTAGCAAGTTTATTCCATGTAAACTTTTTATTTATTCTCTGGTTTTACTGGTTTTCATTGGCCCAGTGTGTCCTGAATTTTGGATTTGGCCAAAAATGTATTTCTGTGCTTCACTAGCTACTATAAAACCCATATGTAAGTTATGTACTATCGAGAGTAAGACATTGAAGTGTGGACCCACATACAGGCCCTTGTACTTTCAAGGGTAATGTTTACGTTCAAATATTTCCCTCTTTTGGAAAGTCTTTTAATGGATAAATAAAGAGATTTAGACACTTCCTGTTCAGTCACTGGGACTGGACAAGCTAAACTAGAGTTTGGACAATCTGGCTTGACATCCACTAGGTCTGTAATGATTCGTTAACAGCCGATTAACACTCTATGATCTTCATAAGACACATGCAGTTATTCCAATAGGCAATAAACTGCTTGAAGCACTATGGGTGATATAAGAAGACCTTGGTCTAAGAAACCATGACTTTGTATGGTAAGGTTTATGTGACATTTGTAATTACTTTGTTTATTACTAGATTAATTACAATTTTGTAAGTGCAACTACAACTTTTACCAAACTGTGCTTGTGCTATTATTTGGTTCTTTTTTGGTCTTTTATGCTTTTTCAAAAACTATATACCATCTAGTACCTGGAGGTGTCATCAAGAACACTTTTGAGAGATGTTAGTAAAAGCAGTAAAAAACAACACAATGTTCTGGGATGACCGCATTAGATGGAGCTGATAGCTTATTCAGCATGGTTTCCCAGTGGGCTGTGATACAAGACACAGATCACGCAAACTCCCTGCTGTTTTTCCCCAAACGAAGCTCAACACCAGTGTAAAAATGTGGGAAAAGGGACATCTTGCATTCAGCGTTCAGGAAAGACGGGACAAATCACAACTGATGACCGACATGCTTTTCGTATGCTTGATGCAATTTGATACAATATAACGAAGTTTTTGCAAATGGAGATGCTCTACGCTTAATAGCAGGTCCTGAGGAGTTTCAGCCATAGTAACAGAAAAGGACGCTCTGGTTGTTAATCATGTGAAAGCACAGATGCAGCTTTGAGGGAATGAAGTCCTTTAAAGGAAAATGTCAGTCTTAGCCAACAGGCTGTCATAGGTTCACACGTCTAAACATATCACCTTCATTGTCCAAAAGAATGAATGCCCTGCCAAATGCTTTCATTAAGTGCCTCAGAAAGCTAAAGTGAAATCTTTCATGGTGTCTGCCTGAACATACACTCAGACTATTGTATGTACTACAGAAAAAGGGGCCTGGGGCTTTTTCATACTCCAAGCAACAGCCGCAACAGTGCCGCACTGAAGAGAGATTGCTTCTGAACATGCTAATCTTCTCTGAACCGTCCTGCTCTTTGTACTGCTTTTCAAGGGCCAATTCAGGCCCCGTGCCTATGGTGTGGCCCAGATGGCCAGGCAAATGGACGGCAGGCGATTCTGTTTCACTCAGGATAATCCTTGTGGAACAATAAGCTCTCATCTGAACACTTTGTGTCCTGTCCATTCACTCCCACAGCTTGTTCAGACAGGAGTTATGATCACGAAAAAGCCAGAACAACAGGAAAGTAAAAGTTTTATGTTGGATGCTACAACCAGCACATGCACTACTGCTAAAGCTGCGTCTAGGCCGAGTGTTACTGGAACTACCGCTACCGCAATGAAGATATCTACTTATGCAGTCACATACTTATGCAGGTCGTGAATCGTCCACGGGTGTGTTGCACACTGTGGCACCTTCCTGTGTGTCCAACTCACTCTTCCTCTCCCATAATTCCAGGGGGCTGGGGCGGGGAGGGCAGTGGGTGGGAGTTTAAAACAGCCAGCAGCAGGACAGTCTTTCTCAGGAAAACGTTGAGTGTTTTCCCATAGTTTTGCTCAGCTTAAGTGACTTTGGCCATCCTTTCTGTCTTTTGGTTTCTCTCTCTCTCTCTCTTTCTTTCTTTCGCTCACTCTCTGCAAACCTGTTTTTCACAAGCTCTGGCTGCCAGACAGTGGGTTACGTAATAAAGGAGAGAGTAGAAGAAAAGATGGAAGCAACAAAAGGAAGATGGAAACAGAAACGCGGCTAATTGTGTGGTGCTGCATGAACCAGTAAGGCGATAACTAAATAGCTGGATTTTGAAGACTTGCGCAGTGATGGGAATTAGACGTTTGTGAAAACGAAGACAAAAATTACCAATTAAAACAAAAGATAAAAACTAAAATCACCAAAATTAACTTTAAAAAGCTTTTAATTATGCATGTTGTAATTTGCAATTGAATAAATGAAACAATGGAGCCGTGATGTGATGTACTGGATGTTGATGAGAAACTGCATACACTCTGAAAATCACATGATTTTCATGTCCAGTTGGAAAAAAAAGTTATCGAAATTCTGAAAGTAATAAATACATTCTGAAGCTTATTTTGTCTGCTAATGCAGCTGTAATAAAATGAACTGCCATTTAAATTGAAAAAAAAGCTCTTTAGGGCCAAATTTGAGCAAATAAGACAAATGTAATTAATCAAGATTAACTACACAAAATAATGCTATTAATGCTTGATAGCCCCAGCAATCATTAGCTATTATTTTGCTGCAATGTGATTATTAATTGTTTCAATACTGCTGAAAGGCTTTGTTTAGGGTTGGTGCATTAGGAACCTGCTGTACACAGTTTGTACGTAGCCGAAACATAATTTTATTAAAAGGTTTTTCAGTGACCAAAACTAGAGTGGTTAGAAGCAAGAACCCAATACTCAATAATACATGAAAGCAGTATATTGGGAGTTTGTTGCCAGAATAAACTAAAATGTGAGAAAATGTTTTGTGGGAAGATGAAATCAAAATGGAGCTTTGGGACACAATTTACAGCAATATATGTGGCACAAATCAAGAAATACAATCCCTAGGGAAAGGTATGGTGGTGGCAGTGTAACCCAGGAAAACACTGCTAGAGACCCTGCTTCTCTCTACTAAGACATTGAAGTTTCAGAGAAAGTTGAAAGGCTGATGATCCCAAGTTCAAGGCCAAAGTAATGTTAAGAGTGACAAACAAAACAAAACAAAACTGTCCTTTAGTTGTTTTTTTACAAATCTAGCAAAACAAAGAAGAACTCCCAAAAAGTGCACAAAGCTGGTACATACTAGACCAAAATGTATTAATGTGTGGTTTTAAAATACTTATAAAATCAGCATTTTTTTTTGTACCTACAGACAAATAACTTACTATGGAAATTTTGATTTAAAAATAGTGACGGGAAAAGTTTGTGTATCATCTGTATTTCAAAAACATTTTACAGGGGATTGAATACTTTTACAAGGTACTGCAGCTACCACAGACACTTCTCCAGACAACATATGAAATGTGTTGCTTAAAAGACCACTTCTCACATTTAATAGCGTAGAATTTGCAGTTACAATGGATTTAAATGTATGTATTAAAAGGTTTCCAAAATTGAAGGATTAAATGAAAATCAAATCATTCCTTTTTTTGATTTTCCAGTGTGGAGTTATGGATGCAGACATTTGGTATTACAAGGTTTTCAAAGTGTTACTACATTCTAGTGTCACAGACGATTCAAGGATAAAAGGGGCTGTAAAGAAGCCAAAGGGGAAGAGATGGAGCT